CAAAGATCATCATTTTCAAGTCTACATTCAAGATGATAAAATCTATACACAATCAAATACAGATCTACAGTTCTTCAAAATTTGGTTGAGCAAGTTCTGCATTTTTTAAACTAGGAAGATGCACGTGCTACGCACGTGACATTTTTTTTTTCAAATTATTTTTAGTAGTAGGTTTATATTTAATAGTATAATATAATTTTCTTTCAATTAGTATTTTTTTCAAATTATTTTTAGTATTAGGTTTATATTTATAGTATAATATAATTCTCTTTCAATTAGGTTAACAAAAAAATGGTGTATTTTATTAAATAATGAAATATAGTATTTAATACTATTAGCTGAACTCTATGATAAATAAAATTTAATAAAAAAAATATTGAAAGAAAATTATATTATACTATTAAATATAAACCTAATACTAAAAATAATTTGAAAAAAAAAAAAATATCACGTGCGTAGCACGTATATCTTCCTAGTCACATGAAAAATCACACATATTAAAACTACCTAAAAAACTATGTCTGAATAATTCGTTCTCATTTATTTTGATTACAATGGTTGCAAGTTTAATTATACTAGTATATGATCCTGTGCATTTGCACAGATATAAAACACGTTTTTGTCTGTATTTATTAATTAGACATGTACTTCTATCATATAAAAATTATTACTTTTTCTTATGTTATTTTTATCATTCAAAATTTATTGAGATTTAATTTTTATTTTAACCATGCAATGTTTACATTAGTAACATGAATAAAATAATTTATATATTTGTGGCATATATTAAGAAAACTAACATAAATAAAAAAAATTATTGGTGTTTCTGATTTTTAGAAAAAAAATATGTGTCAGTCATATTTTTGCTTCCAACAATGCAACCAAATATAGCGGTTACAACTCTAAAGGTGTCATTCAACTTTAAGTTACAACATTAGCGTTACACATTTGAATATTTTACTACCAAATTTAGAATTAATTTAGTAACTGATCCAAAAAATAAATAACAAAAATCTATATACTAAGGTGTAACGGTTTTAGCAAAATTAATGAGTAATTAATTAAAAAAATGTAACTTCTTTTGAAGGGAAATGAAAATAGATTTTATTAAATGTTTTATTAAATGCATTAGCTAGTAATTATATATATATATAGATTTGCAAGTGTATTTATTCCCTAGTCATAATGACATAAGAGATACATAAATATTTGAAAATGTCTTTAAAGTCGTAATTATCTTAAAGAGAAAATTACTTGGAAAAAGTTAGGAATAATAACATCTTTATTGAATAAAGATACCCATCTATCTATACATCTTTTCAGACATAAATTATTGGTGCATCTCCTAATATTGCCATACATCCATTATCTTCATTCCCGGATTTTCAAGACTATCCTAAATGTGAAAATTTACTAATTCCAGTTTAAAAGAATTATAAAATGATGATTCTTTCATATTTTATTTGTATCTTAACATTATTTTTATATCTTCATCAACATTTTATATAGTTTATTTTCCCTACTTTTGCTTAATATAATGATCATTAGTATTGTGATTAAATATAGTTTTCTAATGTCATCTTTTTGCATCATACTCTTTGAAAAATAACTCGAATTTGTTATAACTATAATTTGTAATGATCTTTTTTTATTGTCGATTAGAAGCTAAAACATTATATTTGAATAATTCATTCTCAATTTTTTTGATGATAGTGGTTGCAAGTTTAGTTATATTTGCAAGTACAATATTTCATAATACCTATATATATATATAATTTTTCTCTAGTCATAATGACATAAGAGACACATAAATATTTGAAAATGTCTTTAAAGTCGTAATTATTTCAAAAAAAATTACATGAAAAAACTTATGAATAATAATATCTTTATTGATTAAAGATACTCATCTATCTATATATCTTGTCCAGCATAAATTATTGTTGTATCTCCTAAAATTGTCATACATGCATTATCTTCGTTGACGGATTTTCAAAACTATTCTAAATGTGAAAATTTAATAAGCCTAGTTTTAATGAATTATAAAATGATGATTCTTTCATTTTTTTTTTTCTCTTAACATTATTTTTATATCTTCGTCAATATTTTATGTAGTTTATTTTCCCTACTTTTGAGAAGTGATTTGAAACATTTAATTTATGAATGATTTTATAAATAAGATATGCTAAAGGAAAAAAATATAAAGTAAATTTACTATTTATTTTTATTTAATTAATTTTAATTGTAACTATTTTCTCATGAGTACACATATTATGAAATTCAAGATTTAAAATAGAATTTTAGTTATTTTATTTTATTTCTGTAATTAATCTATTTTTGTTTATATTACAATTTAGTAAATGCTATTTTAATTTATGTAACACATTATTATAAATAAACATTTATACTATACATATTATTAGCAGGTAAACTTAAATCATATTATGCATATTGTTTTAGTGAATAATTTAAACAAATATTTCTGTTAAGATCATATCTTTTTTACTTAACAAATAACTTTTTTCCATAGAATGTTGACATTTTGTATGTTGGATAAATTATTTTTGATTCAATCATTCTTAAACATATGCATGTTCACTAAATTGTTCCTCTTTAATTTTTTTAATACTATAACAAAAAATTTGTATGGTAAACATTATGATATTTGAAAATTAAAGATGATACTTTAAGTGGTGCATTATATATTTTACACTTATGAAATATCATATATTTTATTTAAAAAATCTTAAAATAATTTTTTCTCTTACATTTTAAAACTACCATTAAAATAACCAAATCGAAACCTAACGTCATATATAAATTAATTCATAATAATATAATTAAGAATAAATTATTATTTAAAATATATGAATTTGTAATAGGTAATATTTTGTATGTGTAGGAACTTAAAGATATAATTAAGCATAAAAAATAAAAGATAAGAAAATTACATTAATAACCTTAAAACTTATCTTTTTATGTGGGTATTCTTGGCAATTCAAAAGTTTTCAAGAAACAACTCTTCCTTTTAAGAGTTATAGATAACCTCTAAAAGTGAAGTTTATAAACTTCACCAAAACCTCTTGTCAAAGATGCCTGATAAGAACCAAATTTTTCTTTACCAAACCCTAAACCAAACTCCTCATCTAGCGACGTTGCTTATTTGCAATGACAAGAATATCCGGCGCTGCCCATCGTAAACCGGACTCGCCCAGCCTTCCGGCATCCGATCAGCGGTTAATAGACCACCTTGTTTGAGGCCTTTCAGATCACGACATTTTTGAACGCGTTGATGGGGAGTACTGAGTGCACATTCCGCAGGTTACAGTACCCGCCCGGCGATGGCGGGGCCATAATTGGGTGCGGGTATGTTGGCGGCGGCAGCCACAATGTACTGTCCATATGGCCGTCGTCGTTCATTTTTTTTTTTTTAGTTGCAATAAATGTGATTTCCTGAATTAAGGTTCCATTTTATTGTCTGTCAGTGTGCTTAAGTTTCTTGTTACTTTGCAGTATCGCAAGTGCAATTATTAGGGGTTTCAGTTTGTATTGTCATTTAAAAACTGCATCTTTTAAAGTTTATTTGTCTTTATTGCAACTTTTTAGTGACCAATGATTTTGGTGTTGTTTGCAAGAAGCTAAAAAGAAAATGGAGAAAAGCAAGGAAAAACAACCTCCTTGAAATATGCATTTACCTTGCAAACAACCTCCTTCTAGGTCTTGACCCTAATTGAGGGAGGACAATTGTAGCGCAAACACATGGAACTTATCATTGATTCCAAAAATTGAAATACAATTTGGGTTTTTGTAATATATTTTCTTTTTGTTTACTCGAAATAGGACAACGTGACAACTAATCAGGCAATTCGGGGTCAAAAACATTGTTTGAATGGATTTTTTTGTGTATTTTCTATAATATTAAAAGTTGGCCGACATTATTACTAACTCACAAGATATATGGAGATGAAAAGCAATGCAAATCAGATGATACATAGATGAGAAATGCTAGGTTTTTCTTACACCAAGCAAGAAGCCACCGCCAAACAATATTAATAAATGCAATATGAATCGCTCACATAAACTGCTTATTGTAGAAGAATTGAAGCATCTTAGCAACTGAAATGAAAATCTATTGGTACGTGACAAGAAAGGTTTACTAAATTAAAAAACAAAAACTCAAAAACCAATCAAACACAAATGAAACTCCTATGCTGAGTCCCAGAAAACGAAAATCGGTGCAAAAAGAAGTTAAAATCAGTACAAAATGCAATCCAAATTAACTTTACTCTTCAGACAAATAAATGTACTCCCGCAGACAAAATGCAGCTCAAACCAGTATACCTCAATTACACCAGATGTGTACTCAGGCAGACAAAATAAATGTTATTCTGCAAAGTGAGGATGATGTATTTGATGAAGTTTAGCGGAGACTTACGCCCTCTCTCTTTAAATCATGAATGTCAGCACTATTTTGACATTCTCCGCATGTGCAATTGTCTCCACACCACAACAAAGATTCTATCCATCAAACAAGCAACCAAAAACTAAAGGCATAGATCGCACACATCCAATTTAGTAAAAGATAATCCATATGAAATTCCAATTTATTTTATATGTAAGTGAATATTTATAAACATCAAGACTTTCTATTTGGATAGTTTTTCACCTATTCTAAGTGGAAATTAAGACTTTTAACAAAGTAATTAGCTAATACCACCAAGTAAATTTCAGAAACAGATAATTTTTCAACGAGAATCTTTAGCCTAACTCAAACATTCCCATCTTATATATTTCGTTAAGTTTCAAATAATTTTAGAATCCAAAAAAAAAAAATCAATACAACCAAATAAAGGGTTTTATGTAAAGATAAATTCATTATCATTGGTGCAAAAAGAAAACCACCNACATCAATAAATCATAAGAGTTAGTTTTGGATGTGGAGAATTGGTAGAAGTTGAAAAGAAGGTTCAATTAAGGTTGAGTATTGAAAAAGCACTAACCACATGACTAATGGTGAAAAGATGACGTGATCTAATTGCACCTTATATAAGGTCAAAACAAAAAGAATTTTGTAGTTTTGGTAAATAGGCTGAGAAAATTCATTGGCAGCAGCACTAAAAGCGTATCGAACAGATCAGATCAATCATGGGTATAGAAGTAGAGGAAAACTTCATAAAGTTACGTCATTAGAAAAAAAAAATATGAGAAAATCTATCAGCCATCCAAATAAACAAACTAACTCTTTTTATAAAACTACAAATATCTATAATCTTATAAAACTACAAAATTTTTTTATGTTTTGACCTTATATAAGATGTAATTAGATCACGTCATCTTTTCATCATTAGTCATGTGCTTAGTGTTTTTTCAATACTCAACCTTAATTGAACCTTCATTTCAACTTCTACCAATTCTCCACATCCAAGACTAACTCTTATGATTTATTGATGTCTTCAATGTTTTTTTCATCTCCTTTTAGCTGCTATCTAGTAATAGTATCATTGATCTCACCTAATGTAGAACGTGTTGCATAAAAAAACATGTTCTTTCGGCCGCTATCTAGTGATAATATCACTGATCTCACCTAATGCACAACATGTTTGCTTAAAATAGCTTGTTGTCTTCCTTCTTGTTTTCTAAAGATAAATTGGTATGATGTTTTTATTATTTTAACTTTATTATCTTCTCTAGTTTTTATTCCACAACTTTAGCATTGTAAGATGTAAAACTTTAGATCAAAATATAACGCCAATAAAATAATTTTAACAACAATTAGTCTTTACCATAGGCTTCAAGTGTGCATATTATNCACTTTGAATCTTTAATTTCTTAAGTTGTCATGACTATAAGATCATGCTTAATTTATAGAATATTTGAATATCTGAATTCTAAAAGTACTTTAATATTTATATTTGATTATAATTCAATTTCGAATCAATTAGAATTTTCATGTGGTTTGGTGTTAATAGTCCCAATTTGTTTTTGTTGGTGTTTGAATTTTCATTTTTTGTGAAAGTAAAATTATGTTTATTACTAATATGTTATTTATGGATCAATTTTGCTTGATAAATATAAACCATGAATATAAAATATTATTTTTTTCAAGTCCTGTGAATCTATATCTAGCTAACTAAATTTGAAATATGAACTGAATAAAAAAAATTATTCTTTTTAAGCCCTAATTCTCACTAAACATTGGGTTCATTGTAATTTTAACCACATGTGACATCAATAGGGTCTTTTAACCAACAAAGTCAATAGATGAAAATGTAGTTGTAAGTTCGTTACAGAACTAGCCTTCCCTTCATGTCTGTATATAATCATGGCCCATGTGAGTTGCAGTCATGAATATCTTACAACCATTTTATTTTGTAAAATATCTTTTGATTATGTGATAATAATAATACATTTTCCCAACTTTATCTCTTATTTATTTTTGTAGAAAGTATGAATCTTATGATAAGATTGAAGATATGTACTACTAAAAAAAAAGTTGTGATTGGCAAGGGTACCACTGTATGCAATGGGGAGATTGAGAGAAACAACATGGTAGTAAAAATGATAGAACAAAGCAGATGTTATGAGGGAAATGAAACACGAACATCATAACCTCATCAAAAAATTTTATGTTTGGAAATGCAGCAAGTATATCCATATCGGTATGGAACACTGCAGTTGAAAAAATGATATGCAACTTTGCACTCAGAGAATGGGAATTCACCTCAAAAGTTGCTTTTGATATTCAGGTTTGTTTTTTATTCCATAATATTTTCCACCATAACGTTCGTATAATTGGTATCATGAATGGTTTCAACATTATGCACACAAATTTTGTATGGTGTTGATTTTCTGCATAGCAAAGGTATAAAGTGTTATGACTTGGAGATAAAGAAGTTTTTTATACGAGAGGAAGAGAATGTTGCTTTCCAATATATCAAATGGAAAAACAATCTCAGTTCGGGTAAGTTTTAAGTTCTATTACAGTATGTTAGTTTCACAAACAACTAATAACAAACTGTAGTTTCATCATATTTTTATAAAAACTACTCGGTTATGGAGATAAGAGACTATTATACTGTTGTTGATAACAAGAAAAAAATAATAAATTTTAAATTATTTACAAATTGTGCATGGTTAATACAAGAAATTATCTAGCATTGCTCTCCTTTGAAATATTACCGTTACATAAGGTGGCCTTGGGATGATCTTCGCATAATCAATTTCTTGTATTAACCATGCAACAATTTGTAAATAACTTGAAATTTATTATTATTCTTTCTTGTTATCAACAACTCTTTTATCTCATAAGCGAGAGTAGTTTCCATAAGAGTATTGATGAAACTACAATTTGTTCTTAGTTGTTTGTAAAACTAACATACTCTAATATAAATTAAAACTTACCCGAACTGGGATTGTTTTTCCATTTGATATATTGCAAAGCAACATCCCCTTAACACTTTATACCTTTGCTATACAGAAAATCAACAACACACAAAATTTTGTCTGCATAATGTTGAAACCATTTATGCTACCAATTATACCGACGTTATGGTGAAAAACATTATGGAATAGAAAACAAACCTGAATATCGAAAGCAACTCTTGAGGTGGATTCCCTTTCAGTGCAAAGTTGCATTTATGAATCATTTTTTCCAAGTTAGAACTGCTTGATATACTTGTTGCATTTTCGAAAAGTTGCATTTATGAATCATTATTTCCAAGTTAGAACTGCAACAGTTTTTCGAAACATCGAAAATTTTGATGAGGTTAGGATGCTCGTGTTTCATTTCCCTCATAACATCTGCTTCGGATAGTTCGAAATCCGCTTGTTCAATCATTTTTACTACCTTGTTGTTTCTCTCAATTTACCCTTACATACAGTGATTCCTTCACTGCCCTTGACAATTACAAGGTTTTTTTGTAGTAGTACAAATTCTCAATCTTATCATAAGATTCATACCTTCTACAAAAATAAATAAGAGATAAAGTTGGAAAAATGTATTATTATTATTACATAATCAAACGATATTTTACAATAAAATGGTTATAAGGTATTCATGACTGCAACCCACATGGGTCATGATAGGATGACTAGTTCTGTAACGAACCTACCACTATATTTTCATTACTTTGCTACATTTGCATTACAATGGACCCAATGTTTAGTGAGAACTAGTGTTTAAAAAGAATCATTCTTTATTCAATTTATAATTCAAATTTAGTTAGCGAGATATAAATTCCCAAGACTTTAATTTGAATAAAAATAATATTTTATATTCATGATTATATTTATCAAGCAGAATTTATCCATAAATAACCTATTAGTAATAAACATAATTTTACTTTATATTTTAGAAAGAAAAAAAAAATCAAAATTCGAAGGTGCTTATTGAGATAAATATGTTGAACCTTTGATTGTTTTTTTTTTTTAAATAAAATACAAGAGGCTAATAGCCTCATTAAACCTTCAAGTTCTTAGAAATATATTGGAATACAATCCGACCACATTGTCGCTCTTTTTTATTCTACCGCCCACTTTGCAATGGCATGAGCAATCTCGTTATGAAGGCGATTCGTATGCTGACAAAGACCACATTCTACTAAATCCAGGAGTGTTCGTATATTCGAGAAAATGCCTTCAATAGGGTGATATGACTCGTTTGCTATCAATCCTGGCACGATTTCGAGGCAATCTGTGGAAACTTGTTGGATCTTCATTCCCAACATACGAATAAGAAACTCGTTTGCTAAACCTCTGATATTGGTGCTTATTGTTGAGTTATGTTGAGTTATGAGACGCATAAGTTTAGCCTTATTCAGTTTTAAAGGCATGTTCAAGTTAAGAGTAGAAAGCATGTGTTTATATTATGTTAATGCCTTGTTTTCATGTTTGATTAATTTGCTATGTTTTAAGTATTGTTGTTGAGATTGAGAAATAGGAAGAGGATAAGGGAGGTTAGTATGTTGTTTTAGCCGTGTGCTTTTTCTAGTTAATTGTTGTTTTTGTTTATGTGTTATGCGTATTAATTGTCGTTAATTGTTGTTCTTGTTCTTCTTGTTTTAAGTATTGTTGTTGAGATTGAGAAATAGGAAGAGGATAAGGGAGGTTAGTATGTTGTTTTAGCCGTGTGCTTTTTCTAGTTAATTGTTGTTCTTGTTCTTGTTGTGTGGCCTAATTAACCAAATCAAAAATCTTATTAATAATTAAATTCCTAATTTGTAGATTAAGAAGAGTCGAGCCCTCACGCAAATTTTTCCAGTGTATCCTTTCATCGTTGTCGACAGTCGAAGTGGGTTTATGATTGCTGGATGATATGACAAATGTATTCGTGTGATCCATGTAACCTTTGATGTGTGCTGTTACGATCTTCGAAATGGTTATCCCCGTCGTCGTGTGCGATTATCGACCTTCGACGTGTGTTGCAATTGTCCAAGTCTGGACTGCTTATCTGATTTTATCTTATCTAGCTTATATTTATCTGAACTGACTTATCTGCTTTGAATTGAACTAGCTATTTGAGTTTTATCTCATCTGGCTATCTAATTTTATCTGTATAGATGTTCGAAAAAATACGGAATGTTCATGCTCAAACCGATGTTCCGAACTGAAACTTCCGAATCGTCCGGACTGTTCGGACTGATTCGGTTGAACTAGACAGCGACTCGATCAAAACCGACCGGTTCGTCTGACTGGGTGCAACTCGGTTCAACCGTGGTCCGTGTACATACGCACAAACATGGCTTCGTCGACGCACAACTTTTCTGCTCGAATCTAGAGTTCATTCGAACTGTCCGAGAAAAGGTCGAATTAAGGTTCTCTACTCAACCAGCAACTTACTCATTTTAAGTCGAAACTTAAACCCTAAGTTCAACATGCTTTATCGATGCTTTATCGTGATTTCAGGCAACAACTGCAGCTAAGTCTCAATCGGATAATTTCTAGAATTTTTCGCTAAAAAAGGCTAAAGTCCCGAATTTTCAGGCATATCAAACGGCATCGAAAAATCATGAAATTTTAACCACCAACTCTTCAGTATATATATAATTTATGGTACATTTTTCATAGCATTTCGAAGCCTTTAACTCGTTTAACAAAAATCGTGCATTTCGGATCCATATTCAAAAATCCGGTTAACATAGCAAACGGGTACCAAAATTCACGAAATTAAAACCTAAGCCTCAAGGTCAAGGCATCTAGATAGAATTTATCTACTTGATTTCGCATATTTCAGTTTAGCCCTTAATAAATTTTGAATTTAATGTCATTTAATCCAATAAATCCCAAATAAATCATATCATGCTCAACCTCATCAATTAGTATTTTTATAATTAACTATAATTGTTACTTAAGACCATGGAGTTGGAATTTTCAGCCATATACCTCAGATATACTCTAGAATAAAAATCGGGAAATGGCTGGGCAAGGGAAAATGTGACAAAGCTTGATTCTGGCCGAGTTGACTCGGGTCTGGCTCCGATCTGAGTTGAGAGGTCCGAGTCTGAGCTGAGCTGCCTGGTTCTGGTGCGTTAGGCCCGGGTCTGAGGTCAGGCTGGCTCGTCGGCGCTAATCCGGCGTGGATGAGCTCGTGGTGGCATGAAGCCGTGAACGGCGGGAAGGCTGGTGAAGGGCTCGTCGTGGCGTGATTTTTCCGGCGAGAAGGAGCTGGAACCGGGTGTTCGAAGGCGGACTCGACGGGAAGAGCTGGAGACGGCGGCTCGTCGGGGTTCGCCGTTGGTGAGCTGCTCGGACCGGCGAGGTGTGAGCTGTGGTCGCCGGAGAAGCGCGAATTGGGCTCGAGCTGGCGGAAACGGCGTGGATCTGTGCTGGCCGGAGTTGGGAAGTGGTCGCCGGCGCGATGGAGAGCGGCGACGGCGGCGTGACGGGACGGACGAGCTTGTGTGAACTCGGTGGAACCGGACGGCGGGAGCTCAGTTTGGACGTGGGCTTGCCGTGAAAATGGTGTGCCAGTGGTGGTGAGCTCGCCGGCCGGAGGACTCGCCGGAGCTGGTGGTCGGCCGGATTTTTTAAGGTGGAGCTTGAAAATGATGTTTGGTGGCGTGGATCTTGAAATGGATGGATAAGGGGCTAGAGTTTTATGTGTAGAAGATGATGGAATTGGATGAAGCATGTGCTAGGGTTTCTTGTTATATTGGGCTTTTAAAATCGGGCCTAGGATTAAATCGACTTGGGCTCGATTATTTTAGGGAAATTTGCACGTGTACTACATGATTTTAACTTATTTACAACTCTACCATATCTATATTAATAATTGTGTCTTTACCTAAAACACCTTATTTATCTATATTAATGCCTAAATCACTTATTATATCTTTTCAACCTCCATCCCCTTTTTATGAGATTGATTAGGAGAGAGAAATAAAAATATGCTTATAATAACTTCTTTAATTCCTACGTTTTTAATAGAGAGAGATAAAAACATATATTGTAATTCACGCAGCTGTTCAGTGGGTATATGTTGCGTTTATATTGGTATATGTTCAGTATATGTTGCAATGTAAAACATGTGTTCAATCAATTTTTTTTTTTTACTTTTATACATAAAAGTATATATATAAGTTATATTACTTATATTCTCTATACTAAAAAATCTTCTAATATATTGAACATATATTCCCTATACACACAACATATACCGAAAAATTTACAAAAAATTTTTCTAATATACTGAACATATACTCCATATACACACCACATATACTGCCTGTCTACATACGCAACATCCAAACATATATTGCCGTAAACATATACGGTATATAATGTAGATATACTGTACATATACTCCAAATAAACCCAAAAAAACAAAGGCTACCAAAAAATTCTTCATGAATAATAAATACAACCAAATCAAATTACAATAACTTGATATGCACCACCTCCTAGAAATTAGCAAGCTCCTCGAACATGTCCCCAATAAGCTTCCAATTCAGCTAGGAAAGGCCTCAAAAATAGGATCAGATTCAGTACAACAAAAATAAAATTCAATCCACCAAAATAAAATGCTGTACAGATAAAATTCAGACGAGAATTGAAGGTTTTTTCTCTTCCCTGATGCCATAGAAACATGAATTTCAAGCACAAAAGTCTGATTTGATGAATCATACAACATGGAATCTAAACTAGGTTTCTCAAGGAATTTTCAAGGAAAAAAGAAACTAAAAAAAACACTAAACCATATTCTTAATGAAATAAACATCAACATACGGAAACTAGGTTTCTCGAGGAATATTCAAGCATAAAATTTGAGGTTTCATGTTTCAATATGTATAAGGATAAAGAAGATGAGAAAATTAAGGAATTCTGGCAGCGGACGATACAGCGGGGCACCTGCTACCTCGGTTCAACATCGAGTCTTTTGTCTATCCTCTTGGGCCCCTTTAAAGATGAGCATTTATACCCTTTAAAGGATCTAAATTTGCCGGAGATCGGACGGCACAGAGAGAGAGATAGAGAGATCGTGTGCTTCGACGGCTTGTCGCCGGCGCCGCTTCCTGACTTTCGTCTTCGGCAGTGTGTGTGTACGAGAGAGAGAGAGATTTTACCTCTTGGAGAATAAAAGGGGTGAAAGTTGGAACGATGCACATCAAATAGGGGAATATCTTTGTGAAATTATTGCACATTCAATAGGGCAATATTCTCCATAATTAACAAAATTAAAAATCTGGTATATGTGCAAATAAGTATATAGAATTTTGTAGAGTTGCAAATAAATATGTATTGGGTATATAAATGTAATATAAAGTGTATTCAATAGTATGTAGTGTAAATTCCTCATTATTTAATCGACTCGGCTTAGGAAATTTAAATGATCGGACAAAGACCTCTACTGACAGGAGTTCTTCCTTCTAACTTGGCAAGCTTATTTTCCCTCTTCTGGGCGGCTACCGTCTTTGAGTTTTAACCCGGCGGTGAAAGAATGCCGTATTTCGGTCGCCAAATAGGGTCCATCTCCCACCACCCCAGTAGCGTGCATGTATGGAGAAATCAGTCAAACTTCAAGGGCATGTAAAAATAAATTCGACTTGAACTGAATAAATAATGTTGGCTTGGTAATTTAAATAATTGGGTCGATTGGCCGAAATTTAAAATGGCCCACTTAATTGGGCCTAGAATTTGGACTCGTTTGGAAATTTAATTAATTCCTGACTTTCTAATTCTCGATTAAAATAATAAATCGAGACTTAGACTTAGAATTTTATCTCGTTTCCGAAATAATAATTCAACGTTTTCTCCATGACTTAGACTTATTAACTTAATAAATAAATTATGTGATTTATAATAAATAAAATATGGCATAATTAAGAATTTACTATTTATAGTAAATAAAATACGTCTAAAACGAATGAGGCGCTACATGGACTGCAAAGTTCTACCAGGAAATAATTCCAACATTGAGCAATGTTATGAGCACATTTTTAAAAAAGGCGCATCTAGGTTGGTTGTGGTGTTCCAAATTTATACTTATATAAAAAGATAAACTTTTTTTTTAAAATGGCAAGTCAATTTAATAGTCAAAATGGATTAGTACTAAATTATTTATATTAATAGCAAATCGTATCTCCCCTCAAAACATGCATGCATTAAATGCTTTATATGTGTCCGTGTAAATTTTTTAAATCGGTTGCAAAAAATCCGTGTAATCAAATTCAAAATTTGAATAGCATCAATGAACATAAATTTGTATAGATATGCACGTGTAAAATATTGTTACATTTAAACTTAATCTATAAATGTAAAAAAGATGAAATAAAAGGAATATCAGTTTTGTATTTTTTAAATCAATAGCATTAATTGAAAAGCCTAAAATATTGACTTTTAGTTCCATACACACGTATGTTGCCCTTAAAGATCGGACCGATATTATTTTACAAAGAATCCTATTATACTTACAAAATCCCATATTGGCTTTTAGTCCTATTATACTTACAAAATCCCATCATAATCCTGCACAATCCATTTAAATTTTAAAAATCTCATCCTTTATCTATATATTCTAAAAGATTTTTTAAAAAAAACTATCACAGATTTTTTTTTCTTAAAAAAAGTTAATTCACTACTAATATAAATCATTGATCTACAGTAAGATTTTTTTTTAAAAAAAAAGTTAATTTTCACCAATCAAAATACAAATATTTTTTAAAATATTATTAACACTTATAACATTTTAGAAATTTTAAACATTATTTGGATAAAGACTAAGGAGCTATACACATACATACATATATATATATATATATATGGAGGTCAAACTTAAGTATTTTTTTACATGGTTTCCTTAAAAAGTAGTTTAAAAAGTGGCTTCAAACATTTTTCAAGAATAATATAGAACATTTATATACTTTTTATATATATGAAATAATATTTTAGATGTCTTTAATATATTTATCACATATTGCTCCCCCAAAAATATTAAATACATACAATAAAAAGTTAATAGAAGAAATGCAGAATTAAATATTGTTTTCAATTTTTGTCAGATTATCAGTTATATATAAAATCCCATTTTATTTGTTACAGTTTACATTAATCGCTGAGCTGTATTTGTAAAATTAATAAATCTGCATAAAGCGTGGAATTATTTTTTTTTTTTTTGTCGGAACGATAGATGTATTATAAGCTCAAGGGAACAATGTTCGAATACAACGCGACCAAAAGCCAAAAGATAAATTGTTGAGCGGTATTTCTATAAGGATTTCTAATTCTTATGATAGCAATATTAAGTTTTCGGTTTGCATAATGAAATTCTTTTTTTAGATTCTTCCGTAATTCTTTGATCTAGGGGTCTCATACAATGAGACCCCTTATCTCCCTACTTATTTATTTTGTTGTCTGAGGCCTTTTCCAATTTACTCAGACAGGCTAGCATTAACCATCTTTTGTTTGGTATTAAAATTAGTAGATATTCTCCAGTCCTTACACATTTGTTTTTTGTAGATGATGCAATCATTTTTTTGAAGGCTTCTGTGGATTAAGCTATTATTCTTATGAATATTTTGAAGGAGTATGGCCTAGCCTCTGGTCGGGAGGTGAATCTACATAAGTCTTTAGTAACTTTCAGCCCACTCAATTCACAACAAGTTAACACCACGTAGTTAAAAACCGCATAATAAGTCAGGGTGCAAAGATCAATATGACATCTATCTCTTAATATAAGTCGAACATGATTCAATAGTTTTCAAGATTGTTCTTATCATTTCATAAGGCAGTTGCAGTTAGCCTGATGGTACATTTCACCTAGAACCACAAGCATAGTTCCTCTCAGGAGTCCTTCGAGGAGAATACAACCTGGACTTGTCCTTTCTTGATCTTCCACGGTAAGGAGAACGTCTAGGGGAATAATCACGTTCACGCCCACCTCTATAAGGCGAGCGTCGAGGGGACCTCCGGTACCCCATAATCATCACGGCTCGAACCTCCATGATACCTACCACGATAACCTTCAACCCCAAGAGGTAAATTAGTTTAGATAGAAATTATAATTAGAAATATCCTGCAGAATCAACTCACCAGGAAATAATCCCAACATTGAACAATATTATGAGCACATTTTTAAAAAAGGCACATCTAGGTTGGTTGTGCTCCAAATGGTTTTTAAAATCTAATCTATTTTGATATTGGTGGTTTGCAAACCCCTAGTTTAAAAATCTAAGCAAAGATGAGAAGGTTATAAAAAAATGGACAGATCGAACCGCATCAAAACATACAATGGAACCGCAAGCGGGGTTAGTGACGTCGGAAACAAGAAGAGAGAGGTCATGGCATCGGTCGCTTAGCGTGGAGGTAGGTCAACCATTGTGTGTGAAGTAACATACAACTGAGGAAGGATGTAAAGGCAAAAATGAAAGAATAACTGGCGTTGCAGCACATCATACGAATGGTTTAACATAGCAAACTAAGATACTAACTCTTAAGATTCTAATCTTGAGATATAATACAGAGCAATTTTTTGTTGCATCCATACTGAGACAAGTATCATTTTCCTTGAAAAACTTTGTAAAATCATAAATGTCTGAATACCATCCATTTACTACCCATGTTCAACTTTTCCTTTTATGTTATTGCGTCAAAAGCGAGAGAGTAACATCATATTCCCCTCACAAAAACAGGAAAAAGGAAAAGAAAGAAGAAAAGAAAATGTGGGTTTAATTGCTCCACCATCTTTTTCTACTTCCTTATTTTCTCTATTGCATAATTAATTAGGAGTTCAAATAACTGAAATACTGAGCATGGTCCATATCCAAATGTAAAAGTCCTAAGAAAAAACATAAATATCAGCACCAAGTCGTAAGTTCGTGTGGTGCCAATCAAGCATAGAGTGAACTTTTTCTCTTTTGAAAATGTCAACAGGATACCTATAAAAGCGAAGAATTAGGTGGCCGAAGATGAACATATGCGCACATATATATTCTCTGACAAATAAATAAGAACCACAAAATCATGTCTGGAAAAATTGACATCATTTCCTACAATCAATATTAAGAACAAATGAGTTGGTTTAGTTTCAATACAATAAGGATATAAAACATTATGTGAATTGACATTTATGTCAAATAACCAAATTAAAGAAATTGAAAACTATCCACAAAAATAAATCAACAAACATGGTCAGCTATTGAACGAGCAAATTACATCAAGCGAATTGAACCAGAAGCCATTAACAAGATAGCCATAGGAAAAACCACAACCTGGAAAAGTGCGGTAGCCGACATCTCATCCAAAGTCAAACGATCCATTGGAATGACATTCTGATTTAGTTAAAATCGTTTGCTAAAATACACATAAATAAGCACTTTACAACTTACTCAACAACAGACAATCCAGCGTCAAGCACACATCTTTCGAGCAAACAAAATGTTCTATTGTGTTTCAATTAATTCTACACCCCAATTCAAAAAGAAAAAAAAATATTATGACAAACAAATAAGGGATCTTTATATAAAGATAAAGACACTATAATTAATGAAAAAGAAACTAAAAAGAGAGTGAGAGAGAGAGATGAACCTTCTTCCTCTTATCTTTTACCAACTACGACATGCCAGAAGGCTCGGGACGCGGGTTCACGATGGGCGGCGCCGGGGTATTCTTGTCGGTGTTGATAAACAACTTCGCCAGCGCTGGGGACATGGCGGTGGCGCTGCGTATCTGAAGTCAATTTTTCCATGGTGTTTGGTTTAGGATTTGGTGAAGAAAAAGAAAAACTGATTTGGACTTGTTCTCAGTTCTCTGGCATTAGAAGGGCACTTTGGTCTGGCAAAAATAAATGTAAAGCATCCGTTTCCAAATCCTCGAAACGTCGTCGTTTTCATTCATTTTAAGGCTTCTAAGAGTAGCCACGTGGCTACTTAGCAGGACTAACGGACATTTTCTTCTTCCCAGTTCTTATGTAGGCCGCGTGGACATCAGGAACATTGTGTGTGTCTGTAGTAACCCAGGATTCTGTAGTAGTTTCAGGATTCTCAAAGAGGAGAGAATGAACGGCGGCTGAGTTGGATTCTTTTGGTGTAGACACGGCTGAGTTGGATTCTTTTGGTGTAGACATGGTTGTAGGCTCATCAAGAATAGTTTTGAGGCACGCTTTAGCAGATGGCGTAAACAATTGGGTTTCCACTTCATCCTGAAAAAAATGTTACTAAATGTGTGTTGCAGGTAGGACAAAATCTTTATTTTTCTAGGATATTTTGAAAAACAAATAATTGGTAAGCACCTGTTATCCAGCTCAACGCCTTCGTCATTCGCATCTAAAGGTTTATTCAATTCTACAATGTTGGCACGAGAAGATGAAGGGTGCAGCTCCAGGCTGGCTACTTCGCCATCCATATAAAGTTTGACAACCGAGTACGTGGGGCCAGCAACCTGAAAGAGCCTCACAAAGCAAACAACACGTTTTCCACATATGGTAGAGCGAATCTTTGCTACCAAATCAGCACCCTGCTAGAATTTGCTAAATTACAGATGCATTGAAACTCTTCACAATTGAACGCGCACATTGCAAAACTACTACGCACGATCCCTTAATTTTTCAAACCATGTAATTTTGTCACTATAAAAAAAGCCATCTGATACTACAAAATAATCTCTATATTAATAAGTTAAAGTACACATGACATGTTATTCGAATTAAACAGCCATAGGTTTTATTACTCCATTATTACAAGGCGCTCTATGTAAAAGGGAAAACAAATAAATGTTCACATAGGTAGAGGCGTGACAAATATAACATGCTGCAAAAATACAACTGGTTAAAAGCGCACACATCGCTGTGAATTTTAAAGTTTCCATAAAATACTAACTGTAAATTCCATACCTTCCCCCCAAAGAAAAGGCTGATAATATTTAGGCAAACAACATTCTACAATGTACCACACATGAAAACAAATCCATTACAAGTTGTAATAACATTTCATGTTCAGCAAAAGAGCACGTCAAATAGCCGCATCAGGCAAAAAACTATAAAACATGCATGGAGAAAACAACTAAAGCCTATATTTATTTTCTATGAAACTGGACCTTATCCTCTGCTGCCTGAAGCTGTTGTGTTGTGTAAGCAATAAGTCTTTCCGCATTTTCTCCATACACTACAGCCGAAAGTATTCTAGTGCCATCAGCGATTTCCAAAGGGATCCTAGCTCTAGAGCACATAAAAAACAAGAATAATCGTATAAGCTGAACAAACTATAATGAGATTACATCTTAAGGCTATACATGAACAGTAAATGTTACCTAGCTTCTATCATGTTGTTTTGACTGCAAGAGCAGCACTTATATATAGGACAAGAAAGGGAAAAAAAAAATAAGCCCACATACTAAAGATTCAATCTTTGTGACAAACAACCATGAAAAATCCAAATTCAACACAATTAAACCTCTCGAACACCAACAAGTACAGAAAAACAGGTAAAAATTCAATCTTTGAGGCATACAACAGCCAAATTCAACACATTTGAACTCCTCCAACACCAATAAGCACATGAAAAAAACAAGAAACAATTTAAATAAAAAAGAAAATACCTTGTGATGTAAGAAGATAAGTCCCTTGTTAGACTTCGTAAGACTTGGAATTGAAAAAATTATTAGGATTGTAAACTGAAGTTGTAAGGGAACTCGGACCAGGGGAACGAGCTCGACCAACCTTGCACTCAAGTAAGGAAAAAGAATTAATACACAAGAATGGGCAGAAGTAATGAAACGGAAAAAAATGGAATACATACAAAAAGTTACTTGATGGTTACCAACCATCGCGCGAGGCAATGGTCCTATATTGTGAGTTTAGTCAATTCGGCTAAACAAGAATCTTCCGTGTCTGGCTCATACTTCGAGGATGGTGATTGGCAAGGTTGAGCAATTGGGGGGCCTCTGCTTCTTTCGAGGGACAGTTTCTTTAGCGGCTTCTCGAGTTAAGAAGGTTTCATCTGATTTGTGGCATCCTTCTTATTATCTCAGCTTCCAGTAGTTGATTTTAGTTCTAGTTCGTTGAATAAAGCATGCATTTTGTGTCTCCGTGTTGTCATTGTTCACCGCTTTGGTTCTCTTCGGGTGTTTGAAAAATGAATTGAAGGTGTTGCTCTGGGCTACATGGGGCGGATAGATAAAAAATGCTTGTGGTTGTAGTTGTCTCGAGTTAAATACGACGGGCTTGTAAAAATAAATTCAACTTGGACCGAATAAATAATGTTGGCTCGGTAGTCTATATATATATAAAAAGGTTGTTGTTAAAATACCTTTTTAGAAACTTTTGACCAAAAAAAAAAAACTTTGACAATCTAAATATAGAAACCATATTTGCTGCATTTATAATACACGAAATTTTAAAAAAGTCATACTTCAATTCAAAAATTTGTTTATTAGAGATATTATTGGGATTGTGGATAAGTCACAATTGGATCCATAATTATCATTACATGATTAGTTCAAAAATTAATTGATTAGAAATATTATAGGGATATGTGGAAGTCACAATTGGATCCATAATTATTATTAGAGATATTATTGGGATTGTGGATAAGTCACAATTGGATCCATAACTATCATTACATGATTAATTCAAAATTTAATTGATTAGAGATATTATATGGATATGTGGATAAGTCACAATTGGATCCATAATTATTATTACATAATTATGTGAATCTTTAGTTCAAAAATAGTTGTTTGGTATAAAATCATATGCACTACCACTACTCAACAATTCACGTCATTCACAGTATAGAGATAAATTTTACAGAGAAAACAAAAAGATAAATTTCAGAACACATTGATAATAAATGCCGCCAGTCTGGGATACACTCGATTCCGTGAGTAGGAGAAACAAGCTTTTTTTGCACTTGAAAGCAATCCTAATAGTTGAAACACATCACCAACGGGAGAGCTGGAATGCATTCCATATACTGTTTCATGATGATCAGGTAAATATTTATATTTGTAATATCAAATTTATATAATTTTGAAAAATATTTTAATTCATATTTATAAATTTATGGAAGAACTCATGTTATCAAATATGGTGGGATTTTCCCTCAACATTAGCACGGAGCAGGAGATATTTATGATATTTAGAGTTTGATTATTATGAAATTTAATTTCATTCCATGTTTTTGAATTCCGAATTCTATAATAAATTTTAGTGTTATTATATTTGTTATCGTTATAAAATGTCGTTGGATATTTTTTTTTTATTAAATGTCGCATGAATGTGAAAATTTGAACATTTTATTTTTGAGTTCTACTGTATATTAGTTTAAAATTGGTAGAATGTCATGATACAAGATATAAATTAATACAAATTTTAACAAATATTTCGAATATAAGATTATATAAAAAAAATTACGGAATTAACAATAACTGAATTAAGTACATTTAATAGATTATATTGCGTGATTTTTCAATAACTTATCATAATGAAATATATTCATAAATACGAATATGAATTTTGATTATAATATTTATATTAATTTGTGTTATATATAAATTATTATTATTAAAATTTTTACGTAAAAAGTTGGAAAGATTTGTTTGACGTAAAATTTTAAAGTAAAATATTATAATATTTGTTTGACGTAAAAAAAATTTCAATAATTCTTTTTGTATCACATTGGTATGGACCGAAATTTAATGGAAAGATGTTAATTATGTAACGATGCTATCACACAAAAATCTCCACTTCTTAACTACTTTGCACTTATCTTATCATCATACATGATAAGGTTGGAAATTACAATTTGATTTCAAATTGTTTTAGGTTTTTATTGACCGAGTATCACTCTTTGAATTCCATTTGAATTCAAAATTGGTGTATCTTTTATTTGAACAAAAAAATTTACGGAATTAACAATAACTAAATCAAGTATATTTAATGGATTATATTGCGTGATTTTTCAATAATTTATCATAATAAACCATATTTAACATAGGGGTAGTAATCAACAAAATAATCAATATATTATAAAAAAAGATACTGATTCACCAACAATACCATATCAATTAACATCACAAAACTCCTAAAATTAAAGCAATAGAGTGGAAAAGCACCCTTATACTAACCCCAACCCGACCCCCATCCCCGCCTTGTTCTTCTTAGGCTTCTGAGGCTGCCAAGGATGACCCCTGTGGCGGGTAAACTCCGTACCCATACTCGCCCCCTTGGGACCGTTCCCTCTCATTTCTCTACAAATGACTTCAAAAACAAAATCGAGCAACAATTTGTTCATTTTCCATGAATGAAACATACAAATTGTAAAACCTGGACACAATGAACAAAACAACGAAAACATAAAATAGAACAATATTTAAATATTATATAACTTCTCCCACGCAAAATATCTGACAAGTATTCAAAATACCTATAATCTCTCTCTCTAAAAATTGAAAAATCCCCAATTTTCATCGGCCGTGACCTAGACTTCGTCTTCTTGAGGTGAGCCTCCCCTCCGGCGGACACATTTAAAGCGCCATTGGCCAGCATCGGACTCGGACCAGGTTCGTCGGCACGGGCTGGGTTGTCGCTCGCCTCTTCCTCCCCGTCAGGTTTCCACTTTTGTTCCGAAGCGCCATGGCGGGCGAGCTCAAGGCGGGGTCTCCAGTTGCGGTGGCCGGCGGGTACTGCGAGCGTCCATGGAGGCTTGTGGTGGTGGTCCAGCCTTGGTCTGCTCCTCTCCCGATCTCCTCTGGTGTTGGGTAGGTCGGGACCTCCAGCGGCGGTGGCAGGTTGTACATCGGCCCCGGAGTATGCGTGGGGGGGCTGTGGTGGTGGACTGACCTGGCTTGAGTTGCGAGTCCGGGAGGAGGCTTCAGATGGGGACCGGTGTAGCCGTGGGGCTTCCTCCAGGAAGGTCGCGTCTCGATGTTTGGTTAGGTCGTGTTGGTGCTGTGTTGAGTATCCGGTGGGGAGGGCGTCGTTTTCTCTCGTATTAGCTTTTGTTGTTGTTTGTTTGTGTTTTAGCTTTTGTTGTTTGTGTATGTTTGTTGTGTGTTGAGTTGTGATTGTTTGTGGTAGGTTAGTGTTTTTGGTTCTCCCGGTTGGAAGCTTCTACTCTTGTGGGAGTTTTCCTCTCCCCTTGTGGGAGTTTTCCTCTCCTCTTGTGGGAGTTTCTTCTCCTCCAGTGGGAGTTTGGTGTGTTCTTGTGTTGTGTTTTGTTATTGTGTAGGTAGGTTCTAGATCTACACTTTGTGTAGATCTCCCTCCTAGTTTCAGCTAATTGGCTGGCTTCTCAGCGGATTCGCTGTTTCTAGTTTGTATCTGTGGGTTTTTCAATAAAATCTATCGTTTGGAAAAAAAAATAATAATAAAAAAAAAAAATCTCAACTTAGTATGTGATTTCATTCCATCACATACACGGACATACACAATAATCAGAGCTTTGAGAATTATCCAGTTGAATATCAAAACATTCATTTTACAACATTACGACTTAATAAATTGTCTTTAAGGTTAGCAAGAGTGGCCTCCAAACGCTTGCGGGAGTCAGGCAACAAATTTTCCTGAAAAATATACATCAAGACACAGGTTTTATCAAGTTTTACCAGGCAAATAAAGAAAGAGTAAAGTATATATCAAATAACTCCAAGCAATAGCTCTCCATGGACTTGAAAACCATCAAATTACATCTCTAGAAAATAGTTGTAGATATTAAGACAAAAAGGGATAGACTGAACACAATTCCATTTCATCAAGCAGCACAAAAAATTATATCAATAGACTAAGTTCGTGTTCCTCGATTTGAGTTACATGATAGCTTCCATTAGCCATATACAAAGTCAAATACCCTTAAACATTTAGGTTAGAAACTCCTCCCAATAGTAATTTATGAACATATAAACATTTTATGCGTTGCCAGGAAATTTAAATATCTTGAAATCAATAATACAAACATATATTTAGAAAAATATATACAAGGTTGCAGTAAATGTCAGGAAATTAAACAATATGCCGTACTTTTTACTTAGAATGCCAGTTTTTATGCATGTGCTAATTCAATCTTTTATGTTCTCAAAAACCAAAATTTATATCCCACATAAGTTTATGAAAGATAGCTGATTTTAGATATGTAAGCATCAGATGCAAAAATTCCATATTGTTTTTTTTTTTTTAAATTCCTATTAAGCTTCAATACACAACCCTAAAGGAGACAGCATTAAAATTTTAAGAAATTTACAGCATTAAAGAATCAAGCACGATCATTGAGTTACTCTACTCATCCCCAAGACAGCATAACCATCAGCAAAACAAGTAACGCAGAACACTAATTTAAATTAATCAGAATAA